CTTAACTGCTTGACCTGTGCCTGCAAGATTGCAGCAAATACTTGGGAGAGAGAACAAGGCTCCTGGTTAGTAAAGAAGGTGCAAATGTAAAGCTGTCCCAAGAGAGGGCAACTTAGGAAGAAAACCCTTTTCCTCTGAAATCCAACACACCCTACCACCTAACCAAAATCACTCAGTGTTTTTGGCCCATACCTGGGATGATGCGTGCATTCCAACCAAATTGACTTGTTGTCCACAATGACAGCCTGTAGCCCTGGGTCTCTGTTCCTAGGCACCAGCTCTTAGGGTCTGAGAGGTTATGGATGAGCTATGAGACAAATTTAGACAGACTACCGAGTCCTGTGGAGGAAAAGGGACAGCTAGGCAACTCTCTCAGGGGGAGAGCACCCCAACCCTTGCCTTGACAGACTTTTAGTGCTTTTTGGGCACATTACCTTGAGAATGGTCCTCATTTACTATGCACAGGTTCATTTTAGGTCGTTACCTTTTACAGAAAACAAAGGAGAGGATGCCACTAATCACATCACAATAGAAGGATATTTGCAAATGCAAAGGGAAAAGTTGTTGAACTGGTTATACTCATCCTTGGAAGGCTTGGCATAGATTTTAGGAAGTCATTTTAAAGATATGCAGTTAATGTTTGCAGCCTCAATTCAGGGTGAGGGAGTTTTAGCAAAAAGCAAGTTTCAAAGCGGCCTAGGTACAATGCAAACCTGATTCCCCAGGGGAGAACCTATCTGTGGGTGTGGGTCCTGGATACCGGACATTGCTTTCCACTGGCCTTTCTGAGTGGGAGCTAGGCACACACTATGCAGAACGGTCTCCTATATTTTATGCCAACACCAAGAACTTGGCTTTGATCCCCCTTGCTAGAGGACAATAGATGGGTTTTAATCCTGGTTGAAAATAAAACATTGGTTTTTAAAGTACTGTTCTGGGTTAGAAGGAATAAGCCTAAACACCTGGACACAGTGAGCTAAGCGCAAGTAGGACAGAGACAATCAAGATCTAAACTAGGACCCCATAGCAAGGCAAACGTGACCTTTGCACCCATGAGCCAGCTCCTCCTATACCATGACCCTCACTGCCACCAGCCTTGATCCACAATGCGCTTTCCTCAGGGTGGTGTTTAATGCCATTTTTTTTGTATTCTTTCTTAACTAGTGAAGAATAATAAAGAGAAATATTAACTGATACAACATTTCTATCTGAAATCCCTCAATAATATTTTCACACAGTGATTATTGTACCTAATTTTGTTCTGACAAAATTGGTATCTAGTATTTTTGGTATAATTTTTTACTTAATTCTTCATTGAACTCTTAATAAATTGTCAGCATTAGTTTTGGGGTGGTTATTTAAGTATAACATTTAAGATAAAGAGCACATTTAGCTATTAAACTACTGGTCTTTTTTTAAAATTATGAAATATAAACTGATACATACCTGTGAAACAAAAACAGGAAAATAAAGCAGTAGTAGAAGGTGAAGTTTCACTGGGTGAAGCAGTTTTGTAAGAAGTTTGATAGTACAGTAAACTCTTAAATACTTTTTCAAGAGGATTAAAGGAAGAGTTTAAGTTACAGTACACATTTGCTGTGATAATAAAAACAGTACTAAGGGATGCTGTGTCTTCTTTTCTTCAGGCCAGATAAGTCAACAACTGATCTTAATTTTATAGAAGAGTTATCTCAAACACCAAATCAGTATTCTAGGGACATGTAAAGAGAATAGAAAGAGCCTTACCTTACCTTTAATTCCAGACTGTTGGATGTTCCCTTAGTCAGGTAATTCTTTCCTATCCAGGTGTTATACTTACCTTTATTATTATCCTGGTCAAATGGAAGCAAAGTATAAAGGATTGAATACAGATGAGAGATTAGGGTCTGTGTTGAACCTATCAGTGAACCAGTTTTAAGGAAAAGAATAAGACTTTTTTAAATGACTTCTATTGAAATTATAGGCTATTTAATTATATAGACTCTTGAGTACATTTGATTTGAATTCACTCAATTTATGTCATACATAGATAGTATATAGGAAATTACAGAGCAGTCATAGCACACATGGCACACATCAGCAGTCAAACATTTATCACATCTAAAAAAAGGTTCTCCAGTCAATTATTTTCAGGCTGGGATATGTGCTTCCTTTTCTGGGGGGGGGGGGAGGGCATCAATTTTCAAGAGAGAAATTGTTTTCCCGAACACTGTCTCCCAGAGATTCTTTTGTGACTCTCTCCTTGGATGAGAGTAGAGCTGGAGAGTACTGACTTTCCTTTTCCAGTTGAGTCCTTTTGAAACAGAAGAAATATATAGTGAACCACTGAAAAAATGTTTTGTAAATCAAAGTTGTAAAACCAGATTTAAATTTCATTCTTAATGCTACAGATTGATAAAAGCAGGGCATAGATTATAGCCTCAGAACTATATTGAAAAGAACTTAGGGAATGCATTGGATTTCATCTGAGTAGAACTCTAGTGAGCCAATAGATGATGAGGATTTTTACACTTGATCTTAGCGAAAAGGCCGAGAAGTGATGATGAGGATTTTTAGAGAAGGAGAATGAAATAGAAAAACCTCTACAAAACCTCTACAAAAAAGATTCCTACAGCTAGGTACATCGTCGACATCACTGTTGATCTTGGGCAGCAGCATCATGCCAATAATTGGAATAATTTGTGAACATAAAAATATTACTAAAGAATGAAGGCATCTGGGTATAAACCATAAGAAAATGTCTCACAGCGGGTGGTCATACACAGAAAGTATTTTAAAAAAGATCATTCTCTTCTTAGGACTTTTTTTTTAGTCTTAAAGGCCATTCATCCAAGCTTTTGTCCTCTCAATATCAAGATAATTTATTTCCTGTTATGCCTTTTTGCCTAATAGATGGTTTTCCAATGTAAATAATGGGTGTGTGGGAAGTATAATATCTAAACTAAATATATATACACACACACACACATATATATGGTGGTCCTGTTCTTTGACCAACTGCAGTATTCTAGAAGCCTTTATTAAAGAGGGAAACAGACCAGGTTGAATGGGGTGAGAGTGAAGTGACTGGCAAGGGGAGAGAGTCCAAATAAACCAAAATATAAGAGAAAAGAATTTAAGGGTAAAAAAAGGCACATGTTTACACTCAGAAGAAATTTAAGAGCTGCCTCTACCATGTGCACTGTGTGACCTTGAGTGGGTCATTTTATCTGTCTGAACTTTGGTATCATTTGTAAAATGGTAAAATAATGTCTATTCTTACCTTACTTGATAGTTGCGAAAATTAAATAAAATAGGATGTGTTGCCCTATGTGTACAACATACTTTGAAAATGTCAGAAAACATGAGGTGATTATGTTAATTAGCTTGAATTCAGTTCATGTTTCACAGTGTATGCATATATTAAATCAAGTTATACATTTTCAGTGTGTATGATTTGTAGTTGTCAATTACACCTCAATAAAGGTGGGAAAAATGTTGATTTTATGAATGTAAAGACCTTAAGGCTTTAAGTACTAAATTAATTTTGTGACATGAAAAGAAAAACAAGGAAAGAAAATGTTAATGTATTATTATTGCTTCTTGGAGAGATGAAATTAGAGAAAATATAACATTGTTGACATATTTTAGGATTATCATGTGTAAAAGGGCTTACATTTATCTTGAATGGTCCCAAAAGCACAACTAAGATTCATGAATTGAGGCTGCCAGGAGAAAAGTCCCAGCTCAGTGAAGGAAATAATTTTCTAGTTTTCAGTTGTTCAAACATAGGATAGAATATTCTCTATTTTTTTAAGGGGTTTATTTATTCTTTTGGCCAAATATGTTAAAGGAATAAGACATGCTACAGATGGTTCCACTTGACCACATTAAGATCCTTTCCATCTCTTTAATTCCCTGATTGTAAATACTCAAGTTTTTTGTTTCCTTGAATGTTTCCTTTATTGCTTACATTGTCAAGATTTTAAAGTCCAGAAATTTGCTCCTCTTTGGGATCTTATAGATTGCTTCTTCACACCACTTATCTATATTAATTGTGGACTTTTTTCTTATTGCTATTGCTCTATATTAATTCATATTTTGGAAAGGGGAAGATTTCACTAAAAACCCCATTTTTCTCTTTATGACCATCCCCTGACATCATCAACCTATGTGGCCCAGTTGAACCCAAAGTCCCCTTCCCTTTTCAGCACAGGTTGACATCTCCTTTATATACTACACTACGAAATTATATTTCTGTCCTCTTAACACCTTAAAAATTAAATATCCACATTTTTGTTTTAACATTCACATACAGTTGTCTCTGTCCGAAATTTCTTTTATAGAGTGGAGTATTTTTGTAAAAAGAGTTTAACTTCCTAAGTTATTCACCTATTTCTGATAACTATATAGTATAAGCATAGGAATACTAATTTCATTATTTCAGAATGTATGGTAATTCAGAAATGGATGGTCAAAATTTTTCCCTTGAACTTCCTAGGCAAATATTTAAGTAAGCTAATATAATAAAAAAGATTGCATGAAAAATCTTTAACTTTTTTCCAATAAGTACTTTTCAGTTAAACTACTTAAGATGAATCCCTCAAAGAAGAAACAAATGAAGTATAAGTTAGAAATAGTATTTGTTCATAACAAGATAGACATTTTTAGACTAGTTCAAACTAACACTTCTTTGAAAGAGATAAAGTATCTATTTACCATTTATATTAATCTCTGTACCATTATTCTGAATTATGTTTTATATCTTGTAGTTTTTATATAACAAATTATCCCTCTCATGTTCATAAGGTCTTAAAAAATAGTTTAAAATCTTTGTATCTTCTGTATATTTTATGGTATTTGGTTGCTTGTATATATCCATATAAACCAACTTTGTTTATTTTAATATATTAGCAGTCAACTTGCCTAAAAGACTGTATAGCTTCAAAGTAACTTCTGCTTCTTGCAGTCTTTTGTAAACTTATTTGTACCCCAGCTAATTTTTTTTTTCCTTTGAAAAGCCTGGCAGTGAGAGAATTTCTTTGTCTGGATGATCCACCAGGTCCATTTGATAGCCTAGAAGAAAGCAGGGTGAGTGCCGTATTACATATCACATGAAAAGAGGAACAAATAATTCAGTACAATAACTACATTGTTCCTATAACAGAATAGCAAACAGCAAAATATTATAATTTCAAACCATGGTAGTTTTGCACAGGGAGATTTTAATATTTGAGTCAAAAGTTTTTTTTAATGAAATGCATATACCTAGTTCAGTGAAAAAATAAAAATTCATGGGTGTCATGCAGTCAGTGAAGCTTTAAAATTAAATCCTGCATTTTATTCTCTATTTTTACTGTTTCAAAGAAACAAAATTATTTGCAAATTTATTTTACTACATCTAGTAGTACTATTTCTATGTTAAAGTATTCTTCCATCTAAGTATCAAAGTCAGGAACCTACAGTTAAAATAAAATTGAAAACTTATTTTCAGAGGTGGAAGTTACTGACTTGTTATCAGTTCGGCTCAAGCTTGATGCTGCTCTGGTTACACTAATTGACGTGTTAAAATGGCCTATTTCTTGAAGCAATTGGCGAGATTATCAAAACAGATTTGGTAATAATAGATTAGCTAGGATTTTTTTGTAACTATTTCCCCCAAATATTTAATGGTATTTAAATGGAACAGATTTAATTAGTAGGTTTGTACTGTTTTCAGTTAAACTGAATCAGTTCTTTGTATTAGAGTTAATACCATAGCTTTTTTGAAGTGAAATCACCATCATTGAAGTAAAATCTTTATCCCTAAAATTTGCTATTTGCCGTTCTATGGTAAATGTACAGTTCATAAATTTAGTAAATTTATGAAGCTGTGCCATAATCCGGTTTTAGAAATTTCCATCACCTTGGAAAAAAATCTACAAGCCATTTTACAATCTACAGTCCCAGCCCCTGACTACTGGTCTGCTTTCACTCTGCAAATTTCCCTTTTCTGGATATTTCATATAAATACAATCACAGTGTGTGTGTATGCCATATGAATCAGTATTCAATTGTGTGATTTTTATATGTACAGGTTTATAACTATATAGTCTTTGTATACATATAAAACATAATTTTTATCTATTTCATTAGAATACTTTTTTATGACAGAACAAGAAGTTTACTTCAGTTCTCTGTAACACCTAAGATATTCCTGGAGCACTAAATCACATAATTCCAGACTATTCATTGCACAATTGAATCCATGATTCTTATACTAAACTTACATTAGCTTCTAATAATACAACCTAAAAAGTATAATGAGTTTGGTAATGGTCCGATTATTATTTTGATTATTGAATATACTCCTTACTTAATTTTAGTTGCCTCACTTAGCTGTAGTCTTCGTTGTTGTTGTTCTATTACAGTTATCCCAATTGTCCACCATAGCTATCCCCTGCCCCGCCCACCTCCTGTTCCCATATCCGATCCCCACACTGTTGTCCATGCTGAAGGTATTTATAACTCTTCCCTGACTAGACCCTTCCCCTTCTTTGCCCCCTTATCCCCATCCCCCCTCCCTTCTGGTCTCTGTCAGTCTTATTTCCATGGGTCTGGTTCTATTTTGCTCGTTTGTTTGTTTTGTTCATTAGGTTCCTCGTATAGGTAAGATCACATATTTGTCTTTTACCACCTGGCTAGTTTCACTTAGCATAACATTCTCCAGTTCTATACATGCTCCTGCAAAAGGTAGGAATTCCTTCTTTCCTTCTGCTGCATAGTATTCCATTGTGTAAATGTACCACAGTTATTTGATCCACTCATTTACTGATCGGCATTTAGGCTGTTTCCACCATTCCGCTGTAGTAAATAATGATGCTAGACATAGGGATACATAGGTTCTTTTGATTTGGTGTTTCAGCATTTTTAGGGTATAATCCCAGCAATAAAAACACTGGATCAAAAGGCATTTCCATTTTTAGTTTTTTGAGGAAATCTCATACTGTTTTCCACACTGGTTGCAGCAGTCTTCACCAAGAGTGCCTTAGGGTTCCCTTTTCTCCACATCCTCACCAGCACTTGTTTGTTAATTTGTTAATGATGGCCATTCTGACCACTATGAGGTGGTATCCACTGTGGTTTTAATTTGCCACTCTTTGATGGCTAGTGCTATTAAGCATCCTTTCATATGCCTATAGGCCCTCTGTATGACCTCCTTGGAAAAGTGACTATTGACATCCTTTGCCCATTCCTTAATTGAATTGTTTGTCTTCCTAGTATTGGTCATATAAGTTCTTTATGTATTTTGGAGATCAAACCCTTACCCAAGGTATCATTGACAAATATGTTTTCCCATACAATTTTGATGCCCTTTTCATTTTACTGAATTTTTTAACCATGCAGAAGTTTTTAATTTGATGTAGTGCCACTTTTTTATTCTGTCCTTTATTTCTCTTGCCTTAGAGCAGGGGTGTCAAACTCATTTTCACCAGGGGCCACATCAGCCTCATGGTTGCCTTCAAAGGGCCAAAATAATTTTAGGGCTATATAAATGTTACTACTCCTTAACTGTTAAAGTGTTGAAATTATATTTAGCCCTAAAATTATTTTGGCCCTTTGAAGGCAACCAGCAGGCTGATGTGGCCCCCAGTGAAAAAGAGTTTGATGCCCCTGCCCTAGGGATATACCAGTGAAAACATTGCTGCATGGGATAGCTAAAGTTTTACTGCCTAAGTTTTCCTCTAGGCCTTCTATGGTATCATGGCTTATATTTAACTCTTTTATCCATTTTGAGGTTTTTCTGGTGTGTGGTGTTAAGTTAGTGGTCTAGTTTCATTTTTCTTCTTTTTTATTTTTTTGGCATGTGACATTCCAGTTCTCCCAACACCATTTGTTGAAGAGGCTATTTTTATTCCATTTTATGCTCCTGCACCCTTTGTCAAATATTAGTTGACCGTAGAGACATGGGTTTATTTCTGGACTCTCTGTTCTGTCCCATTTATCTATGTGTCTGTTCTTACAGCAGTACCAAAATCTTTTGATTACAGTGGTCTTGTAATATAGTTTGATTTCAAGTCCTGTGGTCCCTCCTACTTTGTACATCTTTCTCAAAATTGCTGAGGCTATTTGGGGTTGCTTTTGGTTCCATATAAATTTTCAAAATATTTGTTATAAATCCGTGAAATATGTTATTGGTATTTTTATAGGGATTGCATTGAATCTATAGATTGCTTTGGATAGTACTGACATTTTAATGATGTCAGTTCTTGCAATTCACAAGCATGGGTCCACTTCATTTGTATTTTCCTTAATTTCTTTCTTCAGTGTTCTGTAGTTTTCCAAGTACAGGTCTTTAACCTCCTTGTTTAAATTTATTCCTAGGTACTTTATTTTTCTTGTTGCTGTAGTAAATTGGATTTTTTTCCTAGTTTCTGTTTCTGATATTTCGTTGTCAGTGTACAAAAAATGCCTTTGATTTCTGAATAGTGGTTTTGTATCCCGCTATTTTAGCAAATTCACTTACTAGGTCAAGTTTTTTGGTGGAGCCTATAGGGTTTTCTAGGTACATTATCACGTCATCTGCAAATAATGCAGCAAATTTTCTGCAAATAATCCGTAAATTTTACTTCTCCTTTCCAATTTGGATTCCTTTTATTTCTTTTTCTTATCTGATTGCTGTGGCTAAAACTTCCAATATTGTGTGGAATAAAAGTGGTAGAAGTGGACACCCCTGTCTTGTGCCTTATCTTAGGGAGAAAGCCTTCCAGTTTTGCCCATTGAGTATGATGTTGGCTGTAGATTTCTCATAATGGTCTTTATTATGTTGACACATTCTCTCTCTATTACTACTTTGCTGAGCATTTTTATCAAAAGTAGGTACTGTACTTTATCAAATACTTTTTGAGCATCTATTGATGTCATGATGTGATTTTTGTCTTTCCTTTGATTCATGTGGTATATTATGTTTATTGATTTATGAATATTGTACCATCCTTGTATCCTTGGGATCAGTCCCACTTTGATCATGGTGTATGATCTTTTTAATGTATTGTTGGATGCAGTTTGCCAATATTTTTTTGTTGAGGATTTTAGCATTTATGTTCAGCAGTGATATTGGCCTGTAGTTTTCTGTGTTCTATCTTACCTGATTTGGGGATTAGGATAATACTGGCCTTATAAAGAGTTTGGGTGTTTTCCCTATTCCTGAATTTGTTGGAATACTGTATGTCGCCTTATATAATGTGTTGCTGTGTATAGTGCACACCCATGTTTTTAGACCAAACTTTCAGGAAAAAACATCTATCATTTTAATTTTAATTCAATTTTTAATTTTTTTATATTTAGAAACAATACTGATTATTATAATCTAGTATATTATATTGCATACAAATATCTGTATTGCTTTCTAGTGTTACACTTTTAGTGTATAAACATAAAAGAATTAACAAGATTTTATGTAAAAAGGATTTATTACTTCCCATGTATTATGTGCATCCTTATTTTTCCCTCAGTAATTTGAGCAACAACATGCACACTGTACACTGCAAAATATAGTAGTCTCAGGATAGAAGTTAGCTTTTCCCTAAGTATTTGGTAAAATTTCCCTGTGAAACCATCCAGTCCAGGGATTTTTTGTGCCAGGAGTTTTTTGATTAATGCCTCAATTTCACTAGTTCTTGTCAGTCTATTCAGGCTTTCTGCTTCTTCTTCATTTCAGTTTTGGAAGATTATAGTTTTCTAGAAATTTTTCCATTTCACCCAGGTTTTCAAATTTCTTCCATATAGTTGTTTGTAGTAATTTCTTACCATCTTTTTTTGTCTGTGGTATCAGTTGTAATCTCACCTCTTTCATTTCTGATTTTATATATTTGGGTTCTCTCTCTTTTTTTCTTGATGAGTTTGCTTAAAGGCTTGTCAATTTAGTTTATTTTCAAAGAACCAGCTCCTGGATTTATTGATCCTTTGAATTATTCTTCTAGTCCCTATATCATGTAATTCTGCTCTGATTTTGATTATGTCCTTTCTTTTACTCACTCTGGGTTTGTTTATTGTTGTTCCTTCAGTTCTTGTTAGACGTAGGGTTAAGTTATTTATTTGAAATGTTTCTA